AGCCAAATACAGAATGTATTAACGTTTCAATACCTCCTCGGGGGCTTCCTTATCCCCTTCCTCTGCCAGCATCGTAAGTAGGAGGCTTCAATGGCTGTCGATTCTGAGGCTTTGAACAATATCGAGCACCTTGATCCCTTTGTCCCTGTGACTGCTGTGATGGTCCAGCTACGCAACCACCTGACAACACTGGGGGTGCCTCGTTTTGCTTTTGTCATGATCCCACTTGCTGCCTGACAGTTTTCATCGGAGTCTGACCTCCTCTCTCTGTCCACTAGATTTCTTCACTAAATAAAAAATTTTATATTAAAATAAGATTTTGCTTAACTAAATCCATGAAATACAGTCCTTGAGAAGTTTATGTCACTCAACCTATCAAGGAATTGAATGCCATTTATGGAACCTCAAAGTTATGTTCACAACAGCCTGTATTAGTCCATGCCCTGGGTCTAATAATTCCGGAAAAAGTAAAACATGTAACATATTTATGCTACAACAATGGTTGACAGGATGCCAATGGCAAAATTAAACACCATGTTACTTATGAATATATCTCTTAATTAACTAAACAAGTTTAAAGAAGTAGATGGTAAAACTGTCTCAACTAATAAAGATTAAAATAGATTAACAGGCAGACAAGCATGAATTTAACAGGTGCTTCATTGGATTGCACGCTCCTGAAAAGTTAATGTCTTCCTCCAAAATTTCTGGGCTGGCTCGTAATCCAAACAAACATTTTTCACGACCTACAATAACACATTCCTGATAACTCTTTCTTCTTCAGAATAAAACTAATAAGTCTGCAAGATCTCAAGACGTAAATCGACTGTGCCAGAATCCGATCAGCAGATGGCGAGTTAAGCCTTTTAAACTTTTTAAATAAAAATCTCAACCTCTCACAAACTATTCCTAAGTTATAACTCAGCTGTATGCATCTCACTTTGCCTAGCATCATTAATTTCATGCACATTCTCTAAAATATTTGAAAAAGTTATGTATAAGAGAGTAAGTGATTTCTTAAACTCAAACAACATCCTTGCAGGTGAAAATTTGGATTTTGAAAAAAAATATCTTAACTGATAAAGTCCTGTTCAACATACAGATGAAATCTTAAGTGCACTAAATAATAAAGTGCATGTTGGTGGAATACCTTGTGATCTTCCTAAAGCATTCAATTGTGTAAATCATGAATTATTACTATCAAAACTAAATTTTTACGGAATTAAATATAAAGCTGGTCAGTGGTTTAAATCATACCTTCATGACAGAAAGCAACAAGTAGAAATAAAATCATCAGATTCAAATGATAGATGATGGTGTCAAACATGGAATGCCTCAAAGTTCAATACTTGGTCCTCTGCTTTTTCTTGTATATATAAATGATCTGCCCCAACCATCAACTCTCAATCTAAACCTATACTCTTTGCTGATGATAGTAATATTATTATTTCACATCCAGAAATTGACTGTTTTCAAAATTACATAAATGATGTCTTTGCTAGATTAAACAAATGAATTGAAGCCAGTAAACTCATATTAAATTATGACAAAACAAATTTCATGAAATGTTGTACTAACAGCAGAACTTGTGTAAATCTAAATATATGGTATGACGAGTAGATAAAATAATGGAGGAAATTGATTCAAATAAAATTTCTTGGCCTACAAATTAATAACAATTTAGACTGGAAAACACATATTCAATACATCATCCTTAAACTAAGCTCGGCATGTTTTGCTATAAGGGCATTTGCAGATGGAATGCTCTACTGTGTCGAAAGTACTGATGGTTATGAATATTGTATGAAATGACTTGTTCTCCATCCTTTGGTTTAGTCGCAATAAGGATCTATGGAACGTAAATAAACTCTACTCTCTAACATACCTGAATACTGCACTTCCACAAGCAAGTCACAAAAACTGAGGCTGGCACCACGTGTCTGTGTGTCATACCAAACGCATCGCCTGATGAGTTGTGTCCATCATGCACAATGATCATGTCAGCTCCCGGTGCAAAGTCTTGTTACCTCTTTAGTAATGATGGACTCGAAACTGCGTAAAGGGTAAAGTATCCCATATGCTTGCAGGAACGCCTACCTGAAACAAAACCAAATACCGAAATAAACTTCGGCATTGTGACACCAGTCGCAACTTTTACTAAGAACGCACTCTACACATCATTAATAATCAGTCAACTGGCCAGCTAATCCGACCTTCCATGCAACCAAACTATTTCTCACTTTACGTCCTTCACACAAAGACGACACACATCAATTTAAATAAAATAAAATTAAAGAACGGCTCCGCCATCTTCCCATACGCAGGGACGGCAACGTCTGAAAATCAGGGGAAACATCCCGCCACCTCCGGAGCACGAGGGATATTCCATGATCGTTATATTCGCACTGTAAGAGACTCTGCTGCCATCTACCGACCACAGGTCTGAAGTATATCTACGTCGATGCACACTACACTGCACTGCCGAGCGAAATATTACCTGAAATACGAAGCTACGGTGGTAGCGGAAAAAGGACTTCCGTACTGCCATTAGTGACATCTTCCCTCTT